AATAGAAGTTTGTTGTTTATATTAACCACCTTTTAGATGAGTATTATTATAATCGGATAAGGCACGCTTATACGATTCGGCTTCAACCTATTGAATAACTTGTCATTTTTATAGACATTGTGAGCTCGGTTCAGCCTAGATACATTTAATGGTAAAACCCTGTTATAAAATTCCTGAGTGTTAGAAATTTTTTATATTAACTTTTAAAGTTAAAAAGGAAACAAAAAGATGTCTTTCTCTGTGAAGTTTGAATTTTGGCGGCAATTCATAACTTTCATCATAGCATTCGATTTTCGAATTAGTAAAGATATTGCTATTTCGCTTTGATTATATAATCAAATATCCCATATTGTCTAAGCTTTAGTAGCTTTTAATCGGTTGAGAAAGTAATAGAAATTGCGTGCATTGAGCTAGACCAGACGTAGACTAGACTAGTTTATTGTACTGAGTGTATACAGACCTTAACTGTACTTATTAAAAACTTTAAAGTTTATTGATTAGGAAACTCTGATCTGTGTATAAAACTTGAAAATCTATTTCTTTCATATAATCTTGAACATGTGCTCACGTAGCCCACTAGAGTAACTACTACTTCATCCACTAATTAAGATAATTAATTAAGAACTTCCTACAAAACATTGCGGAAAAATAGTTCTTCGCATATAAGCACGTTTGTGACCACGAAAGACAATATGTATCAGTTATAACAAGTTAGATAGTAAATTGTGTTATTTGAATCATACATTTAATTCTAAAGATATGTACAATTCAAAAATATTTTTGTCCTTAAAAATCTGAATCCTCTAACATATTATGTGGAGGCTACATCTGGAATCTAAAAAATGGATCTATGGACCTCATGATTAACGTTATTACAACACATATACTTACTTCAACGAATATGTACAAAAGTACTATAAAATTATATTTTTAAAAGTGTGTTCTTTGGCTAAGTGTAATTATTTGAATGCAAAAATATAAAATAGTAGAAATTAAAATAAAATGACATGGAATATGTGATATAGGAAGAGTTAAGTCACGAAATACTAACTATCATTTAAATATTTATAGTTAAAAAGTAACATCAAATCTGGAAGTTGTTAGTAGATAGATAGATAGATAAACGATTTATTTTTTGCTACAATACACACACACATTACATTTCATTCAACTGAAAAATAATTAATAAGTATGTAAGGTTAGACAAATGAATATTCGAAAACAAGTGCATTAGTGTTTTTTTTTTATTTATTTAGTTAAAAATTCAAGTTTCAATTGCACTCTTCAGTTGTATTTTACATTCATAGGCTAGACTGTGATCAAAGAGCCTTTGTTGATAGAGTTCTATGGATAATGATACGTATGGTTTATATACTTTCAACGCTCACATAATACATTGTTTTTGGGTCATTGGCCCTTTTTTTCGTTTTCTACCCACTACAATCTGAAGGAGTTAGTTTGTCTTCTGTAGCGTCTGTGTACTATAAATACATACACGCACTAATATTTTCCCATATGTAAGCTAGAATTTAATATCATCGTCAGTTGTATTTATTTTATTGTACAGAGCGCCAACACTGCACTACTGTCAATGATATCTGTTACCAACCTTGAACCAACCAACCATCCTTTTTGAAGCCTTTTTTACTTTTTTTTTTCTCTTTTTTTTTAGGGCTGAGTGACAACTATATATTTTGACATGGAAAACAAAAATACGTACAAAATTAATAAAAAAGTAAAAAAGGATCCGGCTCGAAGGACCACTATGTTAACGATAGCTCTAGATAAAGGATTTATGATGAAAAACTGGGATTTAGGGAACCAAAATAAGAAGACCAGGATAGAGCTGAGTGACAACTATATATTTTTGACATGGAAAACAAAAATACGTACAAAATCAATAAAAAAGTAAAAAAGGCTTCAAAAAGGATGGTTGGTTGGTTCAAGGTTGGTAACAGATATCGATAATTCTTAGGGCAAGTTCCACTCCTATGACTAACCGACTGTTGATCGAATAAAGCTTACTTTCTCTCACTTTATTGGGTTATCAAAATAAAAACACATTTCCTTTTACGATCTATTTAATAATATATGCAAAATATTAAAAAAAAATCTTTATTATTATTTATTCTTTATTGCAAAATTATAGCAATTGACGGACTTAATGCCGGGGGCATTCAAATAGGTAACAATAATTTATATTTTTTGGAATCCATATTAATACAAGCTTAATATTCTATTTCAGAATCCAAAGTTTATCACTGTTGCGATATGAATACCTGGAAAATAATAGATTTTATTAATATAAGGTACTTATCTAAAATATTTCTACGCATATAAATAATAAAGTGGAAACACATTAATGTCATAGTAATATAATAACACAAAAAAACGATTCACGACACGTTAATGAGATTCCACGTCTACACATCACATGTGTTACTCAAATCTCAAATTAGGAGGTCGCGTGTACCAAATATGATCTTTCAATTAGTTTTGTACCAAGAAATAACGCCCTAATAAGCTGAAATTAAAAATTAGAACGTTACATCAAATGTTTATAGGCTTTTGACAGTCAAAACGTGAAATTATATATATATATTTCGATGATTTTATTTAATTAATAATTCTTTCGATTCCTCCTAGCACTCTTTACAGAGAACACTGACAAAATATGGATCACATAGTAGCTGAGGGCTGTATGCAACACTTTTATAATAATCATAATGTTTTATGAGTAATTAATTAAAAATTTGTTTATTACACGCAATTTTACATCTTCTGTCCTTATCATGTATTTCATGCCGGGTGCAATAATGGAGTTTATTTCGGAACTTTGCCCGTGTAAATTATAACCAATCTCAACCACGTGTGATGCGACTTCCCATAGGTGAAAGGTTATTCAAAGATGCGAGAAGTATATTTATATTTATTTGATTACTTATGGGGGAGGCCTATGATCAGCAGTGGACGTAGGCCTCCCCCATAAGTAATCAAATAAATATAATTATACTTCTCGCATCTGATGAAGTATATGATGTTGCTATATATTTATAATGGTATATTTAATGTTGTCATACTCATAGTCATAGCTGTCGTAAACTGGCCAATTGGATTCGTCATATATGTCTTCGTCGCTCCAGTTCCAAAAATATTTCTTAATTATTCCTTCTGTTTCGGAATCTGATAAATGACCAATCCTGGAATTCACCGTGAAGTCATAACAATTAAATTTTTTTATTTGCCTTTTGTACAATATGTAAAATACAATACACATTACTGAATAGTGATCTTAGACGACGTATGTACTTTCAAACATTTTTAAACAACTGGAATCGAATAGAGATAAACGATATGATACTATTCTCAAAACAACTCAATTCAAAACAAATTGTTAGTAAGTAGATAAAGATGATATATATTGCCCAGATATTTTTATCATATATAAAATTGAACTTCTGTCTACGCCGTAACGAAAATCACGCTTGTTTTATGGGAGTCCCCTAGAATGTTTATTTTAGTTGGCAACAAGAATCATTATCTAGTCATGACACACAACAGACAGCAGAGTCTTATTAATAGGTTCCGTTTTTAGTCCTTACGGAACCCCAAAAATGACTTACTTTTTGACCGCCTGTTGTATTAGTCCTTTATAATCTGTCCATCTGGCTTGAACTGCTACCAGTGTCGTGCACATAAGTATCAAAACTGTGAACCTCATACTTGTAAACCTCGTACTGACTGAATCCAATGAATTTCGAACATATTTATATGATACCTGTAGAGGACACCGAGCCATGCCGCGACGTCAGCGCCGCCAATGGACGATCGGAGCAATCTTCGCTTCCCGCGCGGTGCGGGGTAGCGTAACCCCACTCCAATTAAATTAATTAGATCAACTGATTAAGTTAGGATATTTATGCAACAATACCAATTGTACCTAAGTAATAAAATTGTCAACAATGAATGAGTTTCCGATCGCCACGTGAAGGAATGTTTTATTTGAAGATCCTGCTCTGAATCAGCATCGTTAGAAACTTTCCTAGATAATACAGTCCACCACCAACATTACCAATAGTTGATTCGCGTCATATCTAAAGTTCGGTTTACACTCCAATTAATATACAGTGGCGAGTTAACTTGCCTATTAGGGGAGTTATTTTTGTTATGCAAGATGTACGGGAAAATTAATAAACTAATAGCTATTTAAAACTACCTCATGTATAAATTTTAACCCATTATGTGACAATCTAAATTACTGTTCCTAAATAAAACATTATTTAACGTACATTTTTGCAAAACCTTACCTATTTCAGTTTTGTATATTACGTGTGCAACTGTAAGTAGATAAAAAGCCGTTTTTAGAAAACATATAAAATATAAGAAAGACCCAAAATATTTTTTATCATTCTTAATTAAAAATAATGCTTAAAAAATCCACTTTGCCCTGGTACTCTGTGATGGATTTTTGAAACATTTTTCATTAAAAATATTTTCCAGTATAGCATTATGAATGCAAAATTTTTCAAGTATAATAATATATCATTTTACTATTAGAGGTTAATTAGGCTAGACAATAGTCAAAAATTAGTATACACAGCATGATTTACTGATAATTCTCACCGGATGATCTATACAATTTTATGAAAAAAAAAAGTGTATTCGGTGTTTTATTTTGGAAAATACTATTCTTGAGCACACATTGCATTGTTAGGATCATTCTTATCAGCCTAATAATGTCCCAACTTCAGTTCTTTCTTATGGATGTATGAAGTCAAATTAAAACGGGCTATAACTCAGAGCGCGGGCCAAGTACAGTTTGACGGGTGTTACCGATTACAGATAAAGTCGGACCAAATCGGCTTAAAGTGCCTTAGGCAAGTAGTTTAAAGTAAGAAATTTTTGGTCACCCATCCTATGACCGGCTCTTGTGAAAATTGCTTAACCGCTGCACCATCAATCTCCCTCGTGTTAATATATTCCAATGTTGTTGTTAACAGACGCAGCAATCGTCGCCGCGATCGACGCCAAACTCATCTCCACGATCTACTAAGAGCCCGCCGCTGCCGGGTGCGCAAGCGCAACCTACTGCACCGGAAAGGTTAGTTATGAATTTATTACTTTTATTTGTAACCTTTCTAACTGGTTTTAAAGGTTTTAAATTCTTTAATAATATTCAGCTTAGTATTAGCATAGATAAGTAAGTAAACGTAGATTGCTAACTCTTAATACATTAGGTTTGACACCGCCTAACTCTTAATTACCTCACTAGCAATTCGGGTTTCTAGGAAAAAAAAATCTATTTAGTTCGTGAGTCTGATAATACAAAAATATTAGATACGATTTTTTTATTGCTTCAATTTTAGAAGGAATGGCTTCCATAATAATAGGCATTAACGTTGAGGAGTGTGACGTCTTGCGACATTTCAACTCGATGTATTGCCGTAATTTATTCTTTAATAATCTAACCGACAGACATACAAACAAAAATTTGTCACCATTCCTATAATATTAGGTTAAAAACGGAAAATTTATATATTCAGCGCGTATCGTTGGAACGTAATAGCCTTAATACCTTTAGTCGGTTATACACCGACTCTACGATGTGGCCTAAAATGGGTACATATCTGCACAGGAAATACCTTTTCTCTCTGACTCTGAACAGATTATTAATATTAAGATATACTACTCATAAAAATTAACGTGAAAACTGGAAGCAGTTCTAATTCCCTGAAAACAAAAATTTCCTCTACTTTCGAAATGCTAATACGACTGAAAAGAAACCCATTTTTCGATAACTTATGTTGTGACTGAGGTAGACCTGACACCATCTCTAGATGCGCAGGTAATCTTCGCGGATATAGTTTAAACAAAAAAAAACAGATTTTTTTGTTCAATAATGTTGAGTTATTGAACACAACCCTAACTTAAAATAAGATGTTGCACATCCCTATGCCTTACTCTATGGTTGTTGCGTCGATTCAATCGCGTGTGCTTTTGTCATGATTTCATTAAATAAATTAGTTTTAAGTAATTTTGCTTTTTATTCTTCAATAACAACTACAATGGGTCTCCAGGTGTCATGTTAATTCATACTAGTAGGATGTAATAGTATTTTTGGTATATGTAAGTGTTTATATACTCACATCCATTGTCAGGGAGCCCAGTACCCGGGGGACGGTACGCAGCGCCCCGCAGACCCCCTCCCTCGGCGAGAGGGAGCGCATAGACATGACACATAGCCTTGGTGAGTTATCATAATATTATTACGAATAAAGTGCACGGTAGTAATCCGCAAATCTCTATCAATATAATGTTAATGACAATGAAAATTTAAAACAACACTTAATTTTCTCGAATACTAATCTTAAACCGGGTTAATCGGCAAATCCGTGTTTCTCAAGTATTGTTAACATAAATTGTTAGGGTTCGCAAATAGCCGATATATATCATGCATATAAAAAGCTGCTATTTATGAGCTGCTAGTGACTTTATTTAATATTTTAAATCAAAAGTCTAAAATAAAGATTGGGTTTGAATAGTTCAATATTTATTTGTCTATTATAAAATAATTAAAAAGCGGTATGCGTTCGAAGATTCCCAGTAACGTGTAGAGGAAAACCCGAAATTATTAGTAAGTAAAATTGCTACTTAGGGCCAATGTTGCTAGCGTCACATTGGGTCGGTTAATTTTCTAGCTGATATTAAATACTACTCAAGCTAACAATAAATACTATAAATATCAATCGATATATATCACTGTCACGAATCCTGTAAATAATCAATTATATTGCTTATCAGGTGGCATGGATAGTATGAGTAATGAGAACAGAAGTTTCCATCAAAATCAACGACCTACCACCAGTGAGTATGATACATGTACCCCAGATAATATATATTAATATTATACTGTACTGTACAAAGCTACATCATCGGTTAGTAAATCCACGGCGGGAGACATTGTATCTAGCAACTGTTAAGGCCACCTTTCCTCCACTACTTTGTATTATACACAAATTAATTGAAAACTTATTTACACGGCTATACCTATAGTCTATTCTGTGTGTTGTGAAAACCATGTTCGATAGTCTGTCCGTCAAATTAATATAACGGGGAACTTGCATGGCAATTCTGGGGCGTGGTCAAGAAATGTCAAAAGTGTATATACATGTTTAAAAACAACTGTGATGTGGTCACATTTAATAATACCAGTTTTTGGGGTAATTGTGAAGAAATAAACAATAGTATTATAACGTTTAAATATTTTTAATGAAAGATGCTTACAAAATCCACTTCGTCCATGGCACTCTGAGATGAGACTCGAACCCATGACCTTCGTCTTATCTTTCTTCATCTTTATCGAAAGTTGAAATATTTGGCTGTTTGGGTGAATTGCCTGAACGTTGATGAAAATACGCTATTTAGTGGCGAAAAAGTAACAAGTGCTTGAAAAATTCGCCAGACCTGTTAGGTCCTGGATAGCTCACAGTTAGAGCAGTCGCCCGGATTGCGAAAGGGTACGAGTCCCATCTCAGAGTCCCATGTACAAAGTGGATTTTTTGAGCATTTTCGTTAAAAATAATATTATTACTTATATACGCGTTTTTTAAGCTGACCTGCGCCGACGCTTCGGCCGGGTTGCACCGGCCGTGGTCACGACGAGACTGAAACAGCAAGTTTACGCCTCTGCATTCGAGGGTGAATCTTCTTCCACCCTCAGATTTTTGTATCCGACTACCGTCACAAACAACACTAACGCTGTCCCTATTCCGCACTTGAGCCGTATTCTGGAGGTTTACCGATTGCGAGAAAAGAGGTTGTGTTTTAGGAAATACTGGATTCCACACTTGTGACAATTTATATCCACCTTCCCCATTGAAGTTATTAGGGTGTTTCTAAATTCCAATCGCTTGACCACGGCCGGTGCAACTCGGCCGAAACGTCCTCGCAGGTTAGTTTAAAAAAACGCGCATAATACCAAGTACTATAAGTATTTGAAATGCAACGCGATAGTTTAAAAGTGAAAATATTATTACTTTTAAAAATTCAGTAACATCATTTACTTAATAATAATTTAAATATTATAATTTACCATGTGATCGAGATTATCTTTCGGGTAGGATAGGGTTTTCTTAGTGTATACGTTTATGCGTGACATATAACGTCGTCTGTTCAGTGGGCATAGACAATAGGAGTCTCCGCAGCGACCTCCTCTACGCGGCGGACTCCGTCACTAACGCCATGTCCACTCTAGTCAGGGAACTTAATTCAGGTTTGTGCCCCTTTTTTTGAACTACAATTAAGTTGAGTAAAATTATAGTTTGGTAGTTTTAAGTACGCATTCGATAAAGGTAGTTTATAGTGCGTGTACCATTTTAATATTTATTATTTATCGTGAGTTAATTTAGTTTTGTTGTTGTGACTAAAACAATGTAAACAATGTAATGCAATGAAAAATAATGCTCTAATGAGTTAGAAACACAAATGAAATCACGAAATGAAGGAAAGAGAAGGTCCTACTTATAAAGCTGGGTGCTTATAGTCTAAGGACTAAGGTTCAATTAATATATATATTGAAATCTTCCCGTTAAAACTTAGCGCGATGTAGTTTCCGTACATTGTACCTCAATGTCATCTGTCAATTGTAAAAGAACTATGTAAAACCAAATAAAGTGAAAATACATAAGGTATTTCTGTTAAATTAATGTTTCAGTTTTAAGCTTTATGTAGTTTACGATATCCTTTTCTTTTTATTAAAGCTAAAAGTAGAATTAAAATTACATGTACTAATTATTTTATTTAAACATAGTTTATAATTTATTAATAAATGTGCAAGTCATAAAATATGAAAATGCTTAGTTGTGCGCATATTCGAAATATTTCCTTAATAAATTACGTAATTAACATAAAAAAATGAAGAAATATTAACAAATACTTTAACTGATATATATTTATTACTCATAATAAGTTTTACGAGCGTACATATTCTCAATATCAATATTAATGGTTAGTATATTGAATTTTGATCATATATAATTTTAATAAGGATACGTACTTACCTTAGACATTTTATAACGCGCCTTAAGAAAACGTTCTCATTTTAGATATGTACGAACTAAAGTATGAGTCGTTCGTACATATCTAAAAGTGCTCTTCTAGATTTAGTGCGTTTATTACAAAAGTACGCTCCTTATAACGCCTAATGTGTACCAGCCCTTAAAACTACGTATAGTACTAGTATACTGATGAATTTCGTATGTCTAATTCTTTTTGTTTTTAAACTGGAAATTGATCTTACACTGTCACACTTAAAGGTTAAATTTCCAATTCCGCAATTTTTTAATGCGTTTTAATTTATGAATTAGTTTATCTAATCATTTGATTAATAATTATACGTATGAAGTTGAAAAATGAATTACCTATACTATGAATAATATTTAATACACTCTTTATGTACCTACCTTGATGTTTATTTTGGGTTAAAATTAAAGTTAACTCTTATAGAGTAGTTATTAGATAGATAGATAAATGATTTATTTCTTGCCAAAATACACACACACATTACATTTCATTCAACCGAAAAATAATTAATAAGTATGTAGGTTAGACAAATGATCATTCGAAAACAAAATGTGTGTGTGCGTCACAGCAGTAAAAAATGGTCCCAGCTCAGCGTCAATTATTCACGCGCATACAATGCGAGCAAATCGCTGATTTTCAGCTGCTACCAAGAGTGAGCGCAAACACGGTACTGCAAACTAACCAGGCTTAAATATCGATGAAAATCAGATAAAACCATCCTAATATATATATTTTATAGATAGAAAATAAATAAAATAAATAGTGAAATATAAAATACATTAGCAAATATTTTATTGAATAATAATTACTATATTTATTACAAAATTCAAATCAAATTATTATATTATTTAAATCAAGTTAAATTATATAATTATTTATTAAAGTTTAAGATTTATAGAACTATATTTTGCAGAGGGCTCTGATACCGAAGACACTGTGAAACGTGAGCCCAGAAAACAAAGAGGTGAGTACACGTAGCATTACTATCCAAACAGCAAATATATTAGTAAAAACCCGACATAAACCCAGATGCGATACTTCTTTTTTACATCAAGATGTTTTTATCCCGGCTGCACCTGCCTTTAAAACCCACCAACTTGCACTGGCCCGCGAGGTGGTTTACAACCCATTCTTATTCGATTCTATCCTTAGGGAAGACCTATATAAGACCTACCCGGCATAACAAGCTCCGATTCCTTTGCTCAGAAAGCAAATCCCTGATTTTTAGCTTTTAGAGATAGATAATGTAGTTATATGTTATTAGTGTTATATTTCAATGTAATATGACGAATGTCTGTCATGTGACGTCCGTCTGCTACATGACGAGTGTCCATTTGTTGGTAGACTTCGAGGAGGATGATGACAGCGATGAGCCGATGCCGCGGCCACAGCCTCCGAGACACTATCTACACGATAACAACCTACAGGTGATTATGTGATCAACATTATATACTACATAGGAAAAGTGTTAACCGGTGATAAAAAAATATGTTCGGTACTATTTATATCTGAGATAAAGAAAGGTTTCAATTAAAAGGTTACTACTTTTGATCGCCGTGCTGCAACTACTAAATTATATTCGACATAAGAAATTCAATAAGGTACATGCGCCAGTTAAGGGCCGCGTTGTAATCAGGCTCACCGTCCACATTTCATTTGAAAAGAAATGTAATATTTTAAAATACAATTTTAAAAGAGCCTTGTTACACCACGGGCGTTAACTGCCGCAGGTACCTTTGCATTGTTTACATCGATTGCTGCGTGAAGTAATAACATTTATTACTGTTATGGCAATTAATTTTGCTCGTGTAAATTGTTTTTATTTTGACAGCTTAATTTTTATTTTTTTAATACCTGCACTGCACCTTCGTTTTGTTTTTCTTTTATTTATTTTAAATGTGACGTTCTATTTCAGAGCATGGCACCTAGTGTTAAGTCACAATCTTAAAGTTTGCTTACGAGTACCGCTAAAGGTTTGTTTATTTTTTGATTTTTATTTCGCTTCATTATTGTTTCGCGCATTTATATTTTTTTACGTTTACATCAGAAATATGATCTTCTAGAAATTTTGTAATCTGTCATCTGGTTCCTCCTCCTACTGTAACGGTTTATATTATAAGTTTTACACTGAAAATAACTAAATCGACTCTTTCAAAGTACTATTCGTACAAAGGCCTATTTAATTTCTCTAAAATTTAAACACATATTTTTATATGACGCTAATACTAAATAAACGCATTTTAAATTATAAGATGGTAATTAATACTTATTATTATTATAAGAATGACTCGAATAATTCAATTTAAGGACAAAGTATGTGGAGTGGATGATTTATTATTTGACGCATATATACAAGTAACAACATGTTTTTATTGTTAATTTTCAGTATTTTTGTTGTTTGTTTATTGCAGGATACTCCGCCGCCCCTCCCCGCGCGCACCGGCCACTACTTCCCCCGCACATAGTATGTACTGCACACTACACAACAATACACAACTACACACATGTTACATACACTCATTACTGACTGTCTAATTATATATATAGTACTGACGACCATTAACACGTTTACCCGATTATACATAATTCATTTTGTTAGATTAGTATTTTTCATTTTATGAAAACGTAATTCTGAATTTTAACAGTTTCATAATTCAAAGCAAGTTGATGCTCATTGTTAATAATAAAATTGTTGTTATGTATTTTTAATGAAAAAATTAAAATTTACTGGACATTTGTCTATCAACCGCAATGTAACTCAAAAGGCACAATATAAGTAGTCGAGAAATTTCTCGAAAACATGTCGACATTCATAATAATATCCTATGTATATTAAACATAAAGTTCAATTTTAAAATTGCATTATCATATCATACGTGTTGTTGTTCGTAACAGTACTTAAGTTAATTAATATAACACTCTTACTTAATGTAACTATGTATTTAGATACTAGAATTATGTGATTTAAGTATTTCGATAATGTTTTGTTAGTGGGAAATTGAACTTAAATTCACTAGTGTTAAGTTTTGTTTTTATTGGGACGGTTATTTAATTCGAGATAATGGAATTCGATAATTCATTATAATAATTATGACATAATATGGGGCGTTTTTATGTCCCTAAAAGATAAAGGCTAGTTTATATCTGTACATGAAAATAAAAATATTGCGTTTCTAATTTGAACTTTATTATCAATACTACCGAATTAAGACTGAATAATTTTGAGGTAAATTACTCATGTAAACGTTCTAAAGTGAAATACGCGTCGGAGACATTTTTTGCAGAATTATTTTAAATTATTTAACTAATCCAAAAGTTATAATAATATTTATTTTATTTTTAATAACTAAGTGTATTTTGTACATAATAACAATTTAAAATATTGTTTTTGCAATCACAAATTGTGTCTAGTCTCGAAACTGTTATTATATTTGTATGTTGGTGCGACAAAAAAAAGATAATTTCAGTTCAGGGAGCTAAATAATATTGAGACTAATCCTTTCAAGCGATCTTACATATAGAAGTGGTAAGATTTTTCTTACTTCTCGTTTTGTCCGTAAAACAAACATCTATTACTCATGCAATTTTAAATATTAAATAATATAATAGAGTTGTTACAAGTAATATTGTTTAAAGTCTCTTTATTTTTTTGCATAATATGTGTATCGTCCTCGACGAATTTCAGTATTTTCCACGGAATTTAAGAGTTGAGAATAAAGTTCAAAATATATGATGGTAATATGACAGTTTGTGGCTATCGGATTTACTTAATACCTATAACTTTTTAACGACTTTCTTAAATTAAATTCTTCGAATATACTATTCCTTTTTCGTCTTCCATTCGTCAATTCCTTCCAGCGTGTACAAATATGTCAATTTATACTTCCTTTGTTGTATTTTTAACTCGTATTCATTGGAGCATCACTGGAAATTGTACCGTTTTATTAAATTTTTTTTAACTAACTTCGCTTAACTCATTACTTATGTGTGTAATTGAGATGCTTAAAAATAATAACGGTAAAAAAAACAATATTAAGCTACTGTCTCGGGCTAGACTCGAGCCAAGGACGTCTCGTTAACCAGGGAGCCAATTCTATTCCAGTTCTATTTTAGTTGGAATTGTATCGTATGTCACTTATTGTTAGTAGAATAGAACCCATTAAAACTGTAGTTTCGTTCGGTTTTGATTCGTTTTCGATTCGATTTAAGCAAAATTTATTTAGTAGAATTGGCCCCCAGTGCTCTTCCTAGTGAGCTACCGGTGACCTAAAGCAACTATACATAAGTATACTCAAGGCGTCGACGTTACTTGCTTGTGTGCGTGTTATATATCAGTGAATAAATGTCACCTATTTAATTTACTGTGATAAATATTATACGCACTGTGAATAGAAAATTCACTAAAATTAGTCAACAGTTGAAATATCAAATAAATAATAAAGTTATATTCTGTAATAAAATCAGACTCGAACACGATGTCAAGCACAGCGCTGTCAGAGCACAGAGCTTCAATCAAATAGAACCTACTCTAAAAGGTCAAAAAGATTGCATTTCATTGAAGTTGTATGTTTTGACAGCGCTGTGTTCGACGTCGATTTAATTACAGAATAGCCAATCAATAATAGCAAAATAACATTGGTGGTCTGAACATTGAAAATTTTTTGAGACAGAATATTTTTTTTTAACTGTTGTATACTAAAAATATCCTTTGTAAATTATCTATGATTTTTTTTTCGAAATTTTCATATTTTAGAATATCTAAAAATAAACTTTTAATTTCTATTAAAATTATAATTTTTTCCCAACGCTACTTTAAATCCCTGCTTAAATGTCAATTTAAAATATACGTACTAACCGAACGATTAAAATAGATTCCAATGGAATTTTGCTCATAAAATGTTTGTTTTAAGACTGAGTTGATGAAACATTTTTATTAATATTAGCAACCACCGAAATGTGAAATTTACTATACCAAATTTGCTTAAACCAAATTACACTTCGCGCTATTAGAAGAATTTTTCATTTAATAGATTTTATTTAATAATTATTTTGTTGATTTATTGATTTTTTGTTGGGCAAATAAAATACTTATTCTATACGCCCGAAATTGTATTCGTATGTTCGGTAAGATGCAACTCATGTGACTCACTAGTGTACCTATGCAGAAAGCTAAATTTCAAATCGACCAATCAGAATGAAACAAGCATCTCGCCATCGATTGATCCACCACCAATACCCACGCTATGATCCCTTTGAGTTTGAGTAAGACGGAGACCTAACGCGTTGTAATTTACACCTTTTGGTTAAAAAAACAAGGCTCATTGTGCGCCATATTAGTTGAAACTTACTGTACAATAATAGTATATTCCCAGGCTGAGAAAGTTCCCTACACTGTCAGTGGGTTCGATTCCCGTGTTGATGGATAAATTGATTATAATTTTATCCAAATATTTTTTCAGTTGCTTTTGCAAATTTCTATTCAGCATAGGTTCTTTTTTTAATATTTGGTATGATTATATTACGTAATTATGTATACACATAAACGTGGATAAATGTAATCAGATGGATTATAAAAAATATTACAAGTGATTAAAAGTTTAATATATTTCCATGGGGGAATCTTTGTTCAGTAATTTGTAAGTTGTCATTACTTATTAACTTTTCGCGTATTAGTCCGAATTTTAATCCGTAATTAGAATCAGTTCAGTAGCTTAGGTGTGATAGCGTAACATACACAGTTACTTTCTCATTTATATTAACTAAAGATAATAATTATAATATGTAATATTCAGCACATAATGAAGGTTACATGCGCGTTAACTTATAAATAATTAATCTGATTACATTTTGCCCAATATCGTGTACAAGTCTCAAGTGACATGTATACAATTTATGTACAAAAATGTATACATGTGTATCAAACAAATCAATACAAATATATAAAAAAAACTTTTTATATAGGCATCTACTTAAATACCATATATATATATATATATATATCGTTTGTATTTTAAGTATAAAAGCTTCATTAATCATTGGTATATTAATAAAAAAAAACAATTATAGTTCTTAAGTTCGAACGCTTTAAAATTGATAATGGCACTGCTCTTAAGTACGATTGCATATCATTTTATTTTTAAGTGTACTAGTGCAATATTTTGTTTTTAAATGTTTATAATTTGTGATGTGATCTTGCCCGATTTGTGAGGGTGTTATGTAAAGGATGATATTTTTTGTTAATTTTTAATTATTAAATTGAAAGAGTGTAAAAATAATGAAAAAAAAAACATTTTTTTACGACAAAATAATTTTTAATGCAACACGAGCAAGGAAAAATTTTGTAATTTAATTTGAGAAAATTTTTGTTTTGTAATGTACCTATAGTTTTAAAAAATGTTTGACCTTATCTTGTAGCTGTTTTAATTCATATTATATGAAAAAAATCTTAACACGAAATTTGTTACTCTATTTTATGAACTCTTCTGTCAAATTATCAAAATTGAGTTATTACGATTATTCTTAGCGATGTATTTAATTATCAAAGCAATGTCGTAACATTCTTCAATATTTTGCTCATACTTCAAAAATACGTCAAGAGAGTTGCCCACTAGTGCGAGTCAACTCTATTAAATCAACAAGTGATTATAAACTTTGATCATTAGATAATTAAATCAAAAATCAATAGATACGTTAGAAATCTAACTCTTTAGGGCTGTAACAAAAAAATTATAGACGGTTAAGTTTATAATCGATTTGGTTGTCGATTGTTAATGAGCGTGTAATAAAGTTTTTAAAGTATTTCCATAAAGATCTTATTACAATGTGAAATATAAAAATATGTTTTCAATATGATCACTGGAGCTTGCCGATGTTTGTACATGAACAAAGACTCTGAATTGTTATTACAACCAAAGATAAATTTAATTTGAAACGGAAACGTGAAAGACTTTTATAATGAATTACTTCAAAATCGTCATCGAACTGTCGATAGCTAATGAAATCTGAAATTAAGTTTTAGAGAATGCGTATGTATATTTCAATGTAGATTTCTTTTCTAAATACGGTTTGAATAAACGAACCGCATTATACCCGTGACGAGGACATGATTAAACTTGACATAGACCACAATAAATAAATAAAAGTGTTAAATGTCTGACCAGAAACAAAACCCGACAATAATTTTGATGAAAGAAAAAATAATTTTCTATAAAAATGTATTTCACTAAAACAATATGATATAATGTCTTTAAATTAAATACCATTTGCATTTCTTATTGTAATATTGCTTTTATCATTTCTGGTCAGTACACATATACATATAATACATATAAATACAATAGTTGTAACATTTGTATGAAAACAAAACCTAAAGTTACTTATATAATTACCATAGATGTCTTTTATACCATTCGAAACTGATAGATTTTGTAATAGAATAAGTAATAGATGTATGATTATTGATATAAGATATTTGAATATATATATCTACTATGTATATGATATAATATTATTATTGTAATAAGAATGCACAAATTTCTAAAAACACACAGATCATATCGTATTGTGACGTCATAAATTTTATATAAACTTCCATTTTGAAAAAATAATTTACGTTTGTAATGAAGAAATATGCAGGATGTTACAACCTATTACAAAAATAATACCTCATTCCTCATCGATTGTTTTTTCTCAAAACTACCATAGCTACAAAATTCAGCCGTAAAAAAATTATCTATGACTAACTCGACTATTGCTGACTCAATGGGTATTTTCGTAACATCCTGTATACTTTAAATAGATTTGCATTGAAAATGATAATACAAGATTTACAGTCAACGGCACCTGAGTTTTTATAAAACTTTCAAGTACTTTTGAGACATAATTCTCCCACTGAAATAGTTCTTTCATTAATCTCCCAATGCAAATTTATCTACTTCCACTGTTTTTATCTCCATTTTGTATACGTTTAGATATCATACGTCATTATAATTATATACACTATATAGTTATATATATATTATAATCAAAATTATCAAACAATGTTTTGTATTTGTGTAATTTAAAGCGTCGTTATTAAGGACGGGCGATCTCGACGAAGAATTACTTTTTAAATATCTATGTACATAGTTTAGTGCTATTTCAACAGAATTTATATAAATCTCTTAACCCGGTGATATAATATTAAAATTAAAAAGTTATTTCATTATTTAAACCAATATTTTTATATAAAGAAAATTATTCAACATAGAATAATTAAATACTACTTAATCTAGAATCTAAAATGTTTTTTAAATACGATTTCAGGGCACACTGGGACAGTCCTACGAGAAGCCGATTTATGAATATTAAGATGGCGCGTGAAATCAATATCACTAACTTTAAACTGGAAAAAAATATTTATTTTTCCTTTTCTTGTTGTAATAATACCCTTCCTTATATAAAGGATGTTTTTAATTATTTTATTAAAGGAAACAAACAGTCTTGTACATAGACATTATTATTGAGCACTTTTACAATAAACGTAATATTTGCGAGTGATTAGGAAAAAACATTTTTGCCATACATCTCGTCGGCACAGTTTTTTGACTTCTAAATATGACAGGAATAGTGAGGATATACTAGTTTGACCCAGGATAATCGATTTGCCCTTAAAACACTTTAGGCTTAATCGATTGGACCTAAAATTAAAATTGAAATCGAATTTGACCGATAATATATTATGTTTACGACAGAGTTTGTTTTGAAATGTTCAATTAAGCTCAAAATTACTGCGTTTTTTATCTACTCTATTCAAATGGTGTGTGTTGAGGTGTTTCTCTCTAGATGGAGATTGTAAGGTTGTGATTTCAACGAAAGGATCGATGCCACAGAGTTTTCCAGTATATTAGTAACATTGGTTTATATCTATCTATATTATATAGGATTCGTACGTCGAGATCGCCTGCCTGAGAGAGGCTTGTACTTAAAATGTTGTAAGTTATATTGCAATTGTAAACATTCCATCGCTTGTGAAAATTGTGTTTCATTTACCTATCCCCTAAACTATAGACTCGTTTGAAAGTTGATTTATTTAAGTATACATAAAGTTCATATAATATTGTGTGAGTACACGAACACGTCTTCTGGTGTAATTATTAATTCCGGTGGCATTTGTTTGTTTTTAGAATTATGATCTTTATACAATGATAGAGTTTCAAATTAATGTATTTTCTTCAAAAAGCCATTTAAGCAGTTTTAGTAATTAATCCAATTTTTGAATACATTACATGCAAACAATATAGAAACCAAAACTTGCGTTTACTTTGAAATAAGACACAAATTATATAGTGTAATTAAAATATCTGTATATCATGGTGGTTTCATCCATATGGAAGGCTCCAGCACACCAGTGGAGAGCTTCGAGGCTTTAAAAGAAACTTCTTTAAAACATATAACTATTTTAATAAACGATGTGTGTCAGGCTAGCAGCGCTACCCTCTCCGATTTTGAAATGAATTCTGCTGACACACACTATTACACGAAATACAACTTAATGTATAGCAAAATTAATTACATGTATATTTACATCTATTTTCCTTACGATAATTATCTTAAAACAATTTTTCTATCAATTTTTACATTAATAAATATCAACCTAATCTTATAATAATTAGACTAAAGTTTCAGTATAGCATTAATAGTTACAGATTTTTATCTATAATGTGAAAAAACGCAGTGGGATATTAAAATCTATTGAAGTTAGCCACAAATTGGTTGGTACATCGGCGACAGTCACTGATAATTATTATTCGAAAATGTAGAAAAACAGTGTCCTGTGAGTATGATTTAAGTCTTAGAGCAAGATTTTAAACTAATGAAAAAATAATAAGGCTCTTGGCTTGGCTTCTCCAGAATACTCCACTGGGAATGAAATATATAATTGTAAAGCTATTCAAAGTCTCGTAACGGTAGAGGCTTCGCAATCTCCCTCCTTTATCTTGCCACCGTCGCCGGCTAGTTCGGCGTAGATCTCGTCTATGGAGCGCATTCTCGTCTCCGGTACACACATCAGTATGTACACTGTGCTGGCAAAACATACCGCCGCGAACAACCCGAACACCAAGTGAAGGCCTACGGAGTCTAATAGTGGTTGGAACACTCGCAGTTCCACAGACACGATGGCGCAGGCGAAGGAAGTCACTATTGAAGTGACCGTACCGCGTAACTGGAAACAGAAATAAATGCGTAATTGTCTTATTTTTACGCAGCTGGCAGCGACAGAGCATAGCACGACGATAGGATGATACGTTTATTCATTCCATTACCGTGCATGCGGCACGAAAGAATGACTGCGTACCGCGATCTGCTCTTTTTTTTGTAGATGTTTTCTCTTTAGGTAGGGGTAGGGGTGGGTGAAATATGTTGAGCCGTCGGTCCCGGCTACATCTGCAGAACGGTAACACCCACCATACCGCACGGGGCTACTCAGGAGGTCATGACCCATTTTCCTTATTCGATTCCATTCATAGGGAAAGGCTGAGCGCCAGCAAGTTAGCAGATTTGGCATTCTGTGTGATTCCCCTGCTAAGTGACAATATACTCAGACTGTCGTTACCTGGAATGAGAACATCTCGGTCATGACGACGAAGGGCACTGGCTGCAGGCCGGCCGCGTCGCAGTAGATGGCGAGGCACAGCGCCAGCGGCGGCACCCACGCGCCCCCCGCGCCCCCCGCCCCCGCCCCCGCGCCCCCCGCGCCCGCCCACACGCAGGCGCCCGCGCACGCCATGCACACGCCCGACACCAGGCACGTGCCCGCCAGCAGCGGCTGGCACAGTACCACAGCGTTAACGCTCACACTTGTGTCACTTGACAATATTTTCGGTGACGGGCAGTAGAACACGTAAAATGCGGAAGTCTTTCTCTTAATCAAAATGTAAGACTTGTTTTGGAATAGAAACCAAAAACATCATTAATCAAAAAAGTCGTTATTGCATGTGCGTCAAAATTTATAATAAGATGCCTGAACAATTTAAGAATGGATCTGAGAGCTTAATGACAAAAAGACTGCGAGAATGGCTCGTAGAAAAATGTTATTATAATATAAACACATTCCTGAAATTAGATAATTTTGCATGTTAATTATTATTAACTGAATAGTAATCGCTTTTAAAATCTTGTAATACGTATTCTTAGCAAATAAATACTTTGATAATAAAATGAGGGTACCGATAGGAGGCGTACTTTCTCCTACGCCATTGATAGATAAACATTAGATACTAAAACTTAGAAATGGTAGATCACTACCAACCTTTCTGCCGCACCTCTCCACCAGACTAGAAGCGGTTAACGATCCTATCATCTGTACGACTCCTAACACGATCGCCTGCTGGTTGGGCGTCAACACCCAGCCGCCCTGACTCGCCCTGCTGAAGATGAGCGACGCGTAGTGGAGGACCGCCACGCACCCGCACAGCTCACGGGCCGAGTTGATCGCCAGGGTTACGCGGAATGCACGGAACGTACCACGGTCCGTCACTGGAACCGTAATAATAAATGAACCGTTTATATATCAATGTTCCTATAATCTGGATGTGTAAATAAATTTAAAGTAAGTTTACTAGCTATCGTTTACGAACTTCATGGAGGTTGCTTGGATAGCTCCATAGACCGAGGATTCAATTCCCCGTCGAGTCAATGTAGAAAATGAACTTTTGCGTAGCTAACTTCGTTGTTTCAGATTTCTATAATACCAGTGCTAATAGCTAAGTACTTCATTTGGTATCTGAGTTACGTATAGATCGTCGTCTAACATGTATATAAATAATAAAATAAATATCGACCACTCCTCATTCATGTGTAACTAAATTAGTATCTGTGACAACGAAGCTTCCACAACACCCGATTCCGAGAAGATATAGAAGTTAATTTTCTAGATAGACCCTTGAATCGAACCCAGGACCTCGAGCGATGGCGACTTGAAACCGGCGTACGAACCACTCGGCTACGGAGGTCGCCAACTGATTTACAAACCTGCGTCAGCGTACAAATAGCTTTATAAGTATTAACGAACCACATCAATTAATCGTGGACTTCGATCTAGGCCGCGGAACATCAACAAGCTTCTATAATTATTGATCAACTGAATCTGAACTAAACACTGGAAGGTTGCCCGTCAACAATAAATCGCATATGAATCAATTTGTTGGCTCAACGGTGTTATTGTTGTGGACGAGATCGACAACCAGCTGCAAGGATCAACAAGATAATTAAGATAACGGCACAACAGATGTTGTATAGAGCCCACTGGCCCTGCGATCTTAAACACTGCGTAGACAGCTGTGGCGTAGATGACATCGTCAGTGCGTAAATTCCAGTTAAATCCTGCATGGTTTAAAAGAGTGGCTTATCATAATTAATTGACAAAAGTTTTTACTTCTCTGACTTAAAAATTCCGCTATTTTATAGCGTATTAAAGCGAATCTAAAATAGGTCATCATACCACAGGACCACAGGTTCATTACTCTACACTACAGAAGTCTTTAATTATTAAAATGTAAAATCTATGTATAAAATACTTGTAGGTAAGATTTTTCTGAAATTGGAACCTACCTAAATGCGGCTATTCGACAGATTACGTGCATTGTAGTATACCCATTAAATCCTCTTTGTTTTCATCCATTAAAAGTGGTATTTAAGTACATTACTATAAAATTGAAACATGATTGAAATCAATTTTATGATTTAATAATTAATTAAGTAGTTGATTCATATTTTAGTAAACAAATATGTATAAACAAAAATTGGTTATTTGATTTTCATCAATATACGGACTTCTTGACTAATTAGCAATGTTATTCTGTTAAAAAAGCTGCCTCGAACTTGTGGATGAATGCGGCGCTGATAACTTAAAGGTTCCATCCATAAAATCTACTACAAAAAGTAATAAAGGTTTTTTAAACTTCATTTTTCAATTAGCAAATTAACCAAGTTAAATTTCTTACACTGCACAGTATTAGTACAAATAATTCAGTTGCAATGTTAAAGTAGAACGACACCGAGTAAACAGACATTCTTTATAACGTCATGGGAACCGCCGTGTTTGGTAAACACGGTCGAGTTTCGTTTACACATTGTTAACTTCCAGAACCATTATTTTTCAATATGTTGGGAACGAATGTGTATGTCTAACCTGATTCTGAAGTTAGGTGACTAAAGCCTTAATTATGGAAATCGATAACTTATATCAACTTGCGCCAGTTTCGACTTCGCGACCAGGGACTTCAGATTCGGATTTATTCTTAATTATTTCACCATGAAATTTTACTATTAACATAGACTTAATATATATTTGAGGTGGTGGGAACATTATCAATGAATTTGTTTGACATCGATTAATCTCTTAATGTAATCTATGGTAATGGAAAGTTCACAGTCTAATATAATAACTGCATCAATGTTAAATTGAAAAATTTGCTTCTCTGTATGACATAAAACAGGGAACAGCAGCCTTTGCCGAATTCTCCCGCCCTATATAGATTTGGTGAACCGATGGTATAGCTTTCGACTTTCACAAGTGCTCGTAACAGCCTAGACCCTAGACTGAAAAAAATATATTGAATTTGAATAGGCTGGTCGTAAATAATTATTGGTAATGCTCACCGAGGGTCTTGAGGGCTCCCGCGAATTTGCCAGACTTGTTCAATTCCAACTCCAGCTGTAATTTCTGTAGCTCCGATTCCACCACCGGATCGGTTCTATCTCGGCACCTTAACCACGCCACAGCGGTTCTAGCTTCCTGTGAAAACAACTATATTTGGCGCAGAGGCGACGTAAGGCGTGGACGGAGGAGTCTATGCATGCCTTTTCAAATAAAACGGAGCAGAAATTAAATAATATATATTAAATTCAATAAATATATATTAGACAACATCACATTCTAAAGCGATTATCCGAAACAACGAAGATACCAACCACAAACCCAGATTCGAAACATTATGGGAAATGTATTTTTTTTTCCGTTGAATCCGGGACCGTAGAGATGAGACAACCTATACCATCGGCCACGGAGGGCTAGAAAATATTTATATCATAATAAATAAATAATATCGATTTTTTTATTTCTGACTTTCTTTTTTATAATAAAAGTATCTAAAATGCCTCCTTTTTCACCATAGACCACCATTAGACGACGCAAAATGCGCAGAACCCGACTTGTTCCGCCGCCGAGTTCTATAACTTGAGCCTGTAGCTCCTCGAGCTACTTCTAAAACTTGCAGGGGATGATAAACAGCAGTAATAATATTTCAAATTTAAAGAAATCTATACTCTCACCTCAGTCTTTCCACTCTTCAATAAATACGACGGTGTGTCCGGCATCGACGTGAACACCAGTAAATGCACCAGTGGCACCGCCAACAGGACCCACAGGATACAGTGATAGCTCATGTACGTCCCCATCAGATACACAACCAAATTGCCCAGGTTCTGCGACAACACCACCAGACTACCGAGCGTACCCCTAATGGAGTCATCGCTGATCTCCTTGATGTATAAGGGCGTGACAACGTAAGATCCGCTTACGGTGAGTCCCAGGAATGCTCGGGCGGTTATGAGAGCCCATGTTTCCGTGGAGTATATTTTTAGGGCCCAGCACATCTGAAATAATAACACTTTATCATTGAATACTTCATGGAAAGCACATTAAACCATCGAGCCTGGCTCCACTCGCGATCTCCACTCCGATCGGGTCCACTTGGTGGATTATGATCACTCGTTCTGCCTATATGATTATGTCGACTTGCACTGAGGAAATTGAAAGGCTAATGACGATGAGGTGATGGAGTGAGCCCTCAAGGAGGGCAACATCGAAACCCATCTAAGTTCACTAGTAAAAACCAATAGGTTAAGCAAACTTACAGCCACAGACAGCGATGTGATCATGAGTGCGATCTTCCTCCCACAGTTGTCGACTATAAATCCAAACAGGAACACCGCTGGGGTTCCCACAAGGTACACGATAGACGCCATCCAGGATATGACTTCGGGATCCAAAGGTTCTTTGGCTGGGGTGTCATCTGACATTAGCCGAGGCCCCATAGGAGACATCCAGCCCACACCGGTGCCATATGAGAAAACAGGCAGGAGCACTATAGCAACAATGTGAAAATCACGATCTCATACATAACTATAAGGTACTTTTCCCGCGATTTATAACCTATGTCAGCCGCATATGATGTAGTTTCCCGTAGTTGAAAGAATTTTAAAGTGGCATTATCGGTTTCTATTCTATGTGCTGGCACAAACAAACTTTCTTCTTTATAACATTAGTATTGATGACTTATAACACGACTTGATTATTTGACTATAAAATAAATTATTATATTTTTATTTAATTTGTATTATTAATAATAAAAAACATTATATTGCAATACAACAATTGTGTCGGAATCCCATTTAAAACCTAAAGATTTATTATTATATCTAAAAAAAAATTACAACATGCTTCATTATTTAATTTATCCTTTTTAGGAGAATGATATTTGCTAAGTTAGGAGGACAGAACTGAGAACCTTTCACAGTTATAACACAAACTATATTCAATGCAATTAAACTGGTGAGTTTTTTGCGCCTCTTCGTCAGTCAATAAACGCCCTGAATTTGTGGTAGGCATTGACAAAGGAGCTTTAGTTATTAGTAGGTAAAGAATATTGAACGATACAAAATTATTAGAATATTGTTAATTTCAAAGCTTATTTTTATCGAGTATATCTTATTTTTATCGAGTTTCCAATATTTCGAGACTGTCACAAGCGCCACCATGATCGCGTATTTATCTGATTCAAGAGTACTTTCAATGAAGTTATTTGAATAAAGGAAATATTTATGTTCATAGAGATTCAGCAGAAATTTAATAAAACTGGCTTTGATTTTATCTATATTGTTTAATTGGGATTTTTTTGGATTAACAGTCCCACAGACCCACAAACAGACCCACGTCTGACCTAACTTATCACAAAGAATATTATTAAATGAGATAAGATCAAATTAAAACTATCGTAGATCAAACAACTGTTTACATCTCGGCTAACTAATTCGAACTTTGCACTGCACTTATAAGAGCTCACTTATAATAGTTAGTATTGCGAATAACGAAGATCAATGTCGTATTCGTACAGCTATGCTATATTGTAACAAAACCAGTCTAGACTTCGACGACTAGCACAGCGCTGTCATAGCATAGAGGTTTAATTAAATAAAATCTCTGTGCTCAACGTCGAGTTCTAGGCCTTTATTATAGAAAACCACTAGATAACACTGCAGATAAAGAATATAATATAGAGTACGTTCTCTTCATACGACGTACGAACCGAACACTTGAACCGAAGTCTTGTATGTGAGCACGTCCGTCGTCCGTGCGTATGCGTCGTCGCACGCACACACTGACATAAATTATCAATGTTAAAGGTGTTCAAGGTACGGTGTACGGTGTTTATTCTATATTTGATAAAAAATCACATATTTGCTACAGTAAAAATACGTAAAGTTCTCTTTTCTGTCTTTATTATAATTCTGGCTATTGTAAAGTTGTTCAGTTATACAATTTAAAGATTTTCATTTTGAGTGTAAAAATAGTAAACAGTATAGAAAAATACAATTTTATTTTATTTGAATAAATACAATACATGATTCACGAAAATGTTGAACAGATCACACGATGATGGTAATAAAAAAATTTCAATTTTTCACCCCAAGAAATAATCAATAACCGTTGTATGATCCCTGCTGTTTCTTGGTACTATGGTGTTTGCATTTTTGACTATTGAAGTACCTATAAGCAACAGCACTACGCGTTTAGGTCATTATCGCTCGCTCGGGGCTCGAGTTTGCGTACTATTCTTTTTTAACTATGCCGTTTAAGCCGTTTTTTTAACACATTTTTTTCTTACGGTTTTAATAAATGTAATTGATTTCTAAGGGGTCCGTAGACCAGAGTAGGCTAGGATATCCTGACATTGTGAAGGTGAAATTGGTAACCAAGATGGTCTATGTAACTAATTCGTTACACTTTCATCAATTATGTTATTTAATAATATTTATTCAGATATTTTACATTAGGAAGACTATAGAAAAAAAGAAGAATATTTGTTAATAATTCTACGCAATTCTCATTGTTATTTGACTTAAGGGAATTATTGTTTGAATCTTTGTACGTGTACAAAGGACCGTCTGGCGTCCTTCTTATACCAACCCCCTCTCCTACCCTCCGTGAAGCCGGATTTTATATCTTGATAATTTTCTTTTATTTCATTTAGGGTTTTCGAAGCGTGTCCGTTCCAACATAGCCTATAATTGAAGATATTTGTAAAGAAAATAAGTATTATAAAATGATGATTTTTATTACGAAAATATTTATTTGCACCAGTGGGTGTCAAATGTTTAGAAGCTCAATATTGCAGTGGTTAGTGTGTTCCTACGAGCACTTATTTCTAGTAGCTTACGGTCGCGGTGCGCTGGTCGCAGGATGGGTGACCAAATGTTTACTGTAACTTTGGAAATAACATTAAGCCGTTTGTCCCGGCCGCATCTGCAGTTGTGAACAGCCACGCATCGGCATTGGCAACGATATAAGTTTTAGGGTTGTGTCCTACAATTAAAAATAAACGCTTCTGTTATGTGCTGGAAAATATCTACCATTTTAACATATAAATATTTAACAACATAAATATGAGTCTCCTTTTTTTGTAGTCGGTTACAAAACTATCAATATATTTTCATTATTTTAATATAAAAGTTTATTTTTTTATAAACGGGAAATATTTAATTGTTTATATTTAGATTATTCAATAATAATCTCTAAACACTACTGTATTGATCGGGGCCCCCGGTACTGTATTGATTTTTAGTTTAATAAAAACTTCCCACAATTCTTTTTATTTCAGAATTTACAAAAGTCAAAAAGAGCGGTTTCTTTTTCCCGCGTAAAGCATGTCTTTCAAAGTTGGCAACACCCCACATCGGTTTTCGCGGGCTGCATTGCAGAATTTCTCCATTTAAGCCATTTATTTCAATAGGAGAATGCCACAATAATAGATGTTTAAATTCGCGCAGTTTATACAAACATTTATTTTCTTGTGTGAGAAATAATTACCCTTCATAAGTGGTCTCAAACAAATTTTTATACGGGGCGCCGCCAAGGTACTACGCTACGCCAGAACGGGCAGCTATATCATACGCGGGTGACACATATAGGTATACGAAGGCGCAGGAAAACACTAGTGAAAATAAAATACAAATATAACTCGTCTCGTTTCTAATATTTTCATATAAAAATTTAGCAATAAATAGTTAGAAAATTGTTTTATGACAGTATCTCTAAAAGTATATGAATTTCTTTACTTTATTTAAAGCTTCATTAAGTTATCGTTTTAGTAACCATATATTCATAATTCATATCAATACCTATAATATAAAAAGAAAGTGTGTTTGTATGCTTTTCCTTTTTGCGCGTCACTATCGGAGCGCCCTTCGCTTGTATTTTTTTTTGTGAAGATTTGGGAGGCTGTTTTTAGTGATACCATCCTGGAACTAAGCGTTTCTAAAAACGAGTACCTAATTTTTTTTAATTCACTATGGTGCAAAATCTGTTTAGCCCTGTATAAATTAAAAAAAATATATTGTATTGAGTTTTGTTTAAATTACTAATATTATAAAGAGGAGAGATTTGTTTGTTAGTATGCATTGAATATGCTATGCTGAGTATGCTCCGATACTACGGGAACGATTTAAAAAAAAAAAACTTTCACTTACGGGTTACAGCTGCATTATTAGGCTATAATTTAAGCAGACAAAGTCACGAAAAAACAGCTAGCATGTTATGAGTTTACATCTAACATATTAAATGATTGGAAAATTAAAAATGCAGCTTAAAAGTCAAATTTTTGCTACAGGATTGCTACCATTTTAAAATTTTATACACACTTTATGTATCAAAAAGCAAACCATTATAATAAGAATCACAATAAAAATGTATACACACATGCTTAGTCGAAAGACCGCGTACAAAAAGCTGTTATAAAGTCAATATATTGATGTTCGTTTAAATTAAAAAGAGGATTACATTTGATTCATTGAGGTGTTGCATTTTATAAGCGGTCAACTCAATTTAGAATTATAATCCTTAGTAATATTATAAAGAGGTAACATTTCTTACTTTGTGGGTTTGTAGGGATAAATCTTATATTATAGTTTGAAAACTGTTAATTCTTTTATTATACTGTCTTTATTGTACAAAAATTTCATACTTAAAATAAGCATTTTAAGTAAAAGTGGGCTTTTCTTTACAAAAGACCTCTTTCAGCCAACCAAGGCATATTCGTGAAAATTATAATTTTTCAAAAAATACTAATAATAAAATTAAATTAATATAAAGTAATTAGTAAATCTCGTAGTAGCTCGGTGGCGTAGTGGTTAAGCGCTGCGGCCCGCGATCGTTGTCGTTAAGCAACTTTCGAAGGTTCGGTCACGGGATGGGTGACTAAATATTATTATCTCGAGCTACTCCGTGCTTCGGAAGGCACGTTAAGCCGTTGGTCCCGGCTGCATTTGCAGTCGTTAATACCCTCCAATTCGCATTGGGCCAGCGTGGAAGGTCATGGCCCATCCTCCTTAACCATCCATAAGGAAGGCCTGAGCCCCTGCAGTGGGGACATAAAAGGGCTGATGATGAATTAGTAAATCATCTCGAATGGTCCTATTGTTAGTTTATCCTATTCTTTATTATTATAAATGTGAAAGTTTCTTTGTCCGTCAATCACGCCGAAACTACTGAATGGATTTTGACGAATTTGGTATACAGATAGGGTATTAGCTGACTTAGATAATAGGATACTTTTTATCCCACTTAACATTTCCCTAGGAACCACTCGGGTGAAAGCTATTTGTGCGTAAAAAATGTAATAAGAACTTTTTTAGAAGTGTGATAAGAATATTTTATTTAATTTTTATATACTTAGAGGGAATAAGTACTAATTTATTTACAAAATATATTAAAATACAGAGAAAACGTCTTCTGTTCTGAAGTCTTTATGCATTAAGCGAATGGCAGT